TCACTTAATACTAGGGGATAAGAAGCCTTTTAAGCACATAAAAACTATGACATTTTGATGGAATTCAGTTGAGCAATAATTTTATCAAATAATATATTTCTTTTTTAAAATACTGTTAAAGAAAATATCGAGCTTCCCTGGTGGCGCAGTGGTTGAGAGTCCGCCTGCCGATGCAGGGGACACGGGTCCGTGCCCCGGACCGGGAAGGTCCCACATGTCTAGGAGCAGCTGGGCCCGTGAGCCATGGCCGCTGAGCCTGCGTGTCCAGAGCCTGTGCTCTGCAACGGGAGAGGCCACAACAGTGAGAGGCCCGCGTACCACACACACAAAAAATATCACACAAATTGGACAGAATAGAAAGAAAAATGTCATCTTAAATCATCTGTCCCACCTTTCAGGTAACTGTGTATAATTCTACAATTATACACGTGTTGATATATACTTGAAATACATACAATATGGAAATAATAAATTTATCAATACATTATGACAGTTATTTTATGAGAGATATTCATACTCTTCTATAGATAGAAGAAAATCTGTATAGATGCTAAAGCAAGGAATTTATAAAAGAAAAGGCTAGAAATCATACTTCCAAATGAATGATATTCTTCTTTATAGTAATTCCCTTGGGAAAGCTCATTTATAGGAATCTTAGCATATTCCGACATAGATGAGTATATGCGTTGCAGTGATGCTGCCACTGTTCAAAACAATTTTGGAATACCTGTTTTGGCATTATGTGAGAGCCATTCAGTAAGCCCTATAAGACATTAGATCCTCTTTTGTGATTAACCAAACATACTCATCATTGATAAAATTTTGCCAGGATTTAGGCATTAACATAAAAGTGCCATAGGTTCTTAAGGCAATTTCAGAAGATAAGTTAAAAACCTTTATTGAACAGTGGTGTAGTTGTTGAAATAAAGTCTACAGCCTTCCAAGACAGTTGCTTCACAGAAGATACAATTGCTTTTTTGATTGTATACATATTGGTATGTTTGCTTAAAACACTCTGACAATATTTTTCCAACTCTGCTTGCTTGTGTATGATGGATGCATATAGGCATAAATATGTTTATTTGGTTACTTCACAGATCAGTTCTATCATGTTCTCTCCAATACTTGTCTGAATACTAAATCTGAATATTAATAATAGAAATCATTAGCACAGATTTGAATATAAAACATTCAAAAATAAAATCATTTAAAATTATCCCTGTCACTAGAGGAACAGAAAGTAATCTTTAAACGAAGTGTCATTAGAAGGCAATAAAGAAGAGAGAAAATTTAATATCTTATCTATTGCATTTTTAGAGATGAGAAGATATGACCTAGGGGAGTTAAATGATTTGCACAGAGAAAATAAAATCTTCCAGATGTGGAGGACATCAAAGGGACATGATCTCTTGGACCACAGGAATAGCAGCTAAGTCACTTAGGTTTCTATTAGATGACATAAGAAGGGCAAAAATCAATGCTATTATTTTGGGACTTACGTATACCAAATTATCCTAGGATATTGACTTTGTTAGTGTTTCAATGTTTAGAATATTTCACTATATTTAGCAGATAGAAGAACTAGCACAAAATGAAAGACACTAAATGCTTACTCTTCACATTCTAATTGCTGCAGCCTTTTTTTTCCAAGCATCAGTCATTGTATACCTGGGCAGTCTGAGCTGACAGCCTTGTCACCAGGCTTTCCTTCTCCAGTGCATTCTAAAGAAAACAGTAAGGTGTTCTTTCTTTTAATGAAAAACTCTAAGAATCTAACTTTTCCATTTTCTAGTGATATTCGGCTACTCCTCTCAGAACAAATAAATATGAAGAGGTATTATTTATGTAACAGGGATTCCAAACATATTTTAATTACCTTTTGGATTGCCCTAATCACACATTCTTTCCTTTTCCTGTAAACCACTTCTAATTGACTGGGAACAGAACCAATAACTCAAAGCTTATTAGCAAATATAAACAAGCAATAGCACTAAATGAGGACCCACAGGATGGCATCCAGTGAGGGTAATAATTGCAGTATTGGCTCATGTTCATTTGGGCCCTTGCAGCAAAGGCTAACCAGTAATGCATTATACAGGGAGCAGGGTAGAATGTGTGTTGTTCTAGATGGGGTTCCTTCCCTTCATTTCCTTTTCTGTTTCTTCTTTTTCCTATGCTTCTCTTCCATTTTTTTCTTCTATACATGCAACCTATATTTTCCAGCCCTAGTCAGCCTAAAGTACAGTCAAAAGACACAATTTAAATAATAAGAAAATTATCATTGCTATACATTTTTTTCAACGGAATCCTTGGAATGCCAGCCCTCTCTAGGTTCCTTCCTCCATCGGTAGTGCTTTCAACATTATAAGAGGTTGTATCTTAGTTACTAAAGGCACAAACCCTACAGCCAGCTGCCTGAGTTAGTCCAGTTCCAATCCTTAGTAGATGTGCACCTTCTAAACCTCTCTGTGTCCCAGTCTCATTATATATAAAATGATAAAATCTTAATAATAAAAACAATCCTACATCATAGAATTATTGTGAGGATGAGTTAATGCACATAAAACACTTAGTATCATGCTTATGACAGAGTAAGAACCAAAAAATATTAGCAGTTGTTATTATTGTTGACATTTTTTCTGTGTACCTACACATTCTGAGAATGTTTCAAGCTTACTTCTATTAGCTGTGTGTCTCTCTCTTTATTTTGGACTATACCTCTTTTATACCTTTTGTTTAACTTAATATTTCAGTTTCTTGAACTCCGCATGCAGCGTGATCCCCACTGTTACATCACATTCAGATTCCCCCCTGACATCTCACCAACTAGGATTTAGCTAGTGAGCTTCAACTTGTTTCTTCTTTCAAAGTAGTTTCTTCTTCTATTTGGGGCACTGCACAGTGCTTCAGGAATTAAAACTGAGCTGTGACTCTAATATGCTTAGTTATTGTCTCTGTCATGAGATCTTTAAGATGTTCACATAGATAGCTTAGTGGGACAGGTGTCTAAATACCTGATTTCCCATTTTGAATAAGCTGACTACTGCTGAGACCTTTAAAACAAAAAACAAGTAGAAGATATACATATGCAAAATCCAGATCTGCTGACACCTCCTTCATAAGTTGCTTTTTGTATCTCATATTTCTACTCATGAATAAATTATATACAATTATCAGGTCATTTCATTCTTCATATGAAAAATAGATTTAAATTTCTCCACATGTGTTTGGCACAGTACATGTCTCAAAGTATAATGCTTCCAGTTTTAGTGCCAACTTCACTCCGTATTTTCGAACTTCAAGAATCCATCCCAGCTGGGCAATAACAACTGGTCCTTTCTCACAGAAGTTTTGTGAGAGTTAAATACATTAAGGTATATAAAACCTCTATTATATTGCTACTAGAGCTCTTCAGAATGTCATTTCAGAAGTTCAAGATCTCAATATGGCAAAAAATATTTTGGAATGAAGGTTTGAAAATTCACATTCATAAGATTTTCAACAGTTACAACCTGTTAAATTTGTAGTGAATTTCCCTAATTACAGTTTGGAATAGTCAGATTATTACAGAAAGTGAAAGAGATACTCAAATAATAGTGTTTACATACAAGTTATATTTTTTAAAAAATACTTAACTTTCTTCACTTTTGCTTTCACTGTGGAGCTTTGACCCTTGAAAAATATTTTTCAAAGACGTGACAATGAGTTGTTTTTCTGACCCTTATAAATTTATTTTATTATTACAATCTCCAGCTTATCTGCCATCCATACATACGCAATGGCACGAGCACACATTCAAACATAGAACTTTGCTATTGTTCTGTACTATTATTAGCTACAATGACAAATTTTATAACTGCAGCATTTGTAGATTTTTTTTCTTGTCTTTGTCCAACATAAATTATTTTCTCTTGCTAATAGTCTAAGAGTACTACAACACAAGTTTTGAAGAATCCTGGTTCTACTTCCTATATCCCTGATTCTGTGGTATAACAATTATATTTTCTTTTTTTTAAAAAAAAAGCCTTTCTGGGAAAATGAAAACACTTATGAATGATAATACACCTTCCTATTTGTAAAACAAACCTTGAAACCCTCTAAAGCCTGGAGTTCTACCAATTATTAGATCACAGTTACACTTTGTCAAGACTAAATGTCTCACATCCTTGCTGGAAGAGAGGAGGACCCTAGGATTACAATATATTTGAACAAGAAGGTGCTAACTTTGCATTATTTTCCATTCTTCATCCTGTCTTTGTCAGGAGCATGGATCCATGCTGTACTCTTCTCTATTCTGGTTGCCACCTTTGTCATGAGAATGAGACACCAGAATCAGAATGTTTCCTGTGAGATATAATAGCATGCTTTCCTGCTTGCACCTCTCAGGATGTTGTTTTTAGTTAGCTTAGAGCCCCTGAATCCGTAACAGCATCACTCAACATTCACCATTCATGCAAGGTGTCCTTCCTGCTTGTATTCACTGTAAAACTATTTGATGTCTTGGTCAGTTTTGCAGCCCTCCTATTTCTCAAACACACCCCTGAAAAAAACTGTTATTGTTTTTTTATTATTATCAGGTCAATCAAATGTATGTTACAATTTGTGGTGTACAGAAACATACACATGGCTTAATTTTTTTTTTAACTACCCGTCACTTACAAATATTTCAGTATTCCAATTACACAGAGGAATATACAAATAGTAGCGGCTATGCTTTTAGAAGTGATGGTGAGATGGGCATTTAAAAGGAACTCATTCCCTTGAAGATGTATTTATTTTGTATTTAGAAAATTTCTACTTTAAAATTTTCACTTTGCTTGGAGGCATATTTTTAGATTACTCTTAAATTTGCCTCTCATCCAGGCTAAGATATAAATACTGTATTGTATTTTTAGACCATGCTTCTGTCACACATGTAAAATGCAACCTGCTAATATATCCAAGTAACCACTTATTTTTTCCAAATGTTAGGATATATGGAACCAACATGATAAACATCTGTATGCAGTTGCATTTCTCAGTATAGACAGAATTTCATACCCACGCAGGGTAAGGGAAGAGGACATGATAAACGTGTGAAATCCTTTTGAATTTGAAAAGTGTACGTATAAGAAGGCAAAGAACCATACGAATCTAATCAATGATACAGCTTCCTGTATTATGTGTGTGAGAAGTATTTTCTGAGTAACTTGTCTTGAGTTTTAGTCTCTCTCTTTTTTTCTTCGAAAGAAATTAACTTAAAATTGAATTACACGTGATCTTTTTCTGGGATTAAAAACAATATGATTGTTATCCATTTGGGCCAGATTAATAAGAGAAACAGAAACCACATTGTTTCAACAGAAAGATTATGATGTAGGTAATTGGTGATCTAACTCTGGCCAACTAGGAAGCAACTAGTCACTCACTGGCAGTGAAAAAACCCCTGGAGTCTTGGCCACTGGACTAGCCCCTCCACTCAGCCCTTGTACTAGGTTGTCTCTCCTGTAGTATTTGTTGTATTGTCACCTTCCACCACGATCATGGTGGCGGCATCCATGGCAGCTCTGTTGGTTCACTCTCAACTCAGGGTATTCTGTAACCCCTTTCCTCTGGGTTAGTCAGATAAGTGATTCCCTTCATACCTCATGGAAGCCAAGAGAAGCTTAGGTGCACGTAAGTCCTTCTTACGCCTAACCATGATGGGTGCATAGTTTTTCAACATGCATCTCCTAATGGGTCTGAAACCATCCTATTAAAAAGTCTCCATTTAGATTCCCAAATATGATTATGGAACAAGTTCCTCGCTGCCATTTCAAGCCACTTCAATCAAATTCACCTCCTACATCTGGGCGTCTGTCTAGAGAGAGGAGATCAAGACATGCATTCTACTGGCAGCCTCACTTATCTGCTGTCTTCTTTGTCTTTGAAATCCCTCAAGACTCCGAGGGGCAGGCTTCTGTTTTGCTCTGGACCTCTCTATGTTGAACTCTATGATGTAGCTCACCAGGTCTATAGGTCAATATGTTCAATGTATGCAAGCCAGTATTTAGGAAAGTATTTATTCCTAGATAAAGCTTTGTTTTAAATATAGTTATCTGTCTTTAAAACAGAAAAATATCCTATTACGAAGATCAGAAACTTTATTTTTCTCCAATATTTCTGCTCTAAAGATCCTAATTCATATCTCCCAGCCCATAATAAGTAGAAGTCTTATTGTAGCTAGAACAAATATTATGTATAAGGAAATGGAAAGAAAAAAAAAGCCACACTGTTATATTTCCTGTTTCCAAAAAAACAAGCTCTGATAAGAGAAGTGCCAGATGAATAGAGCCAGGAGCCTAACATAAAAACACTTTCAACTCCATCATCTTCTCACTTCTGCTGGGCGCTAGGATAGCCCAGGGAAGTGGGAATAGCCAGGTTCTGATTCTGTTACCTCACAGGATTGAAGTGGTTGAGATTTGAGACACAGTGTGCTTGTGCCCCAAGACTCAAGAATGAATATCTTTGGCAGAACTTGCCGGCTGGTGAGTTGTGAGGTCATTCTCATACCGGAAGTTATTTTTGAAAGGTGGTTCTGTAACTCAGTGGAGGCAGCTGATCCTTTAGTCTAGCTTGTAGCAGAAGGTCAGAGCCCTTTCGTAGCAGTTTTGCTAATAGCTGGTGTTGAGTTTAGCTGACAGGTCTTCATATCCCAGGTGGCCTGAGGTTCCAGTCTTACTCTCATGGCCTACCAGGTCATTCATTCAGTTCAAGATCACAGTTTCCCCAAATGCGGGGCAGCCAGTCTTCCCGGGGTCAGGGCTAGTTCTAGAGATTGGCTCCAGAAAGACTGTCGAGCTTTTGTGCAGAGCCACCAACAGTGATGTCCGAAAGCTACTCAAAGCATAACTCCATTGCTACTTTGCTTCCCCAGGACAATAGAGCTTGCTACCAAGATATTTAATCATCTGAGGGAGAAGCCAAGAGAAGCTTAGGTGAATAACTACTCAAATTATTCTTCCAAGAAGAGGAAAGGTCACCTTGAAGGTAATTTGCTTTTTTTTTTTACAGTTACATAGTTACATGGGAGACCATTAGATCGGTTTTTGTCAGAGTAAAAAAAAGTAGCCTTTCTTCCTAAAAGCTATTCATTTGAAATTTATGCGTTTGTCTGTGTGGTTAGTGGATTAATGTCTGTTCTGTACTAGCTTTAAACTCCACTAGTACAGCTGCCTGGTCTCTTTGCTTCTCACTGTGGCCCTGGTGCCTAACACAGAACCTGACACAGAAATGGGCTAACAAATATTTGTGGAATTAACAAAGGAGTAAATCTACTCCAGGAGAATGTTTTTCGTTTGCTATATTGTGAAGTATTTGGTACCATTTCTAGCTAAAGAAAAGAAGAAAAAACATCAAGCTAATCCCTATTGGAGTACTCCTCAACCTGAGATAGCTTCCTAAAAGCAGAAAGCTATTTAAGACAGATTGATTCAACCTGTGAATAAATACTTTTGGAAATAACTTGACTTAGGCCTACTTTTTAAATCAAATAGACCCATCAGTATTTATTATTTATTTGACCCATCAAATTGTGTTCTCCAAAATATTGGTTCTCTAGGATTTTGCTAGGTAATATGTGGAAAAATGAGAGTCAAATGAGTTTAGAACCAATGGGATGAACAGGTTCCTTTATTGAAGTACTTTATTGAAGTACTTTTATTGAAGTACTTTTTCAGGTTCCTTTATTGAAGTTCCTTTATTGAATACTTCCTGTTGAGGAAGTATTATACTCTGGAATATAGTATGCTGGTATCTCAAACTTATTTGACCAGGGAATTTTATTAATACAGTAACTTTCCTAATACTTATTATGTTCCATGTTGAAATATTAGATTCAAAAACATTTAAAATTTCAAACCTAAACTCCAGAAAATAGTGTAAAGCAATTGGTTATGATGATGTGATAGCAATTTGTACATTTTTAGGAATTTCATAACATTAAGTCTTATTTTCAATCAGATTGTGACCAGAGAGTAATTATGTTTTATGCATCACTGCTATAAACATCCTAGCGCTTTCTAGTACTTCGCACATAGCAAGTGTTCAATAAATATTTGCTTAATAAAGGAGGAAATGAGAGCTATATCATACTAGAGTGTTTGCTATATTGAATGTAATAATTATTCTGAATTAGCAATACTTTTTGGCAATCTGAGACTATTAATGCATGCCAATGGAAATATGTGTTGTTAAAAGTCAAAAAAAATGATCAAATCAGGAAAAAAATACATGTGCACAGTTTTTCTACAGAAAAGAGTAGATAGAATAAATTTATTATATCAAAATTATATCAAAATGTACTGACAAGTATCAATTTTAAAAAATCAGTGTATAAAAGAATGATGTCACAAAATTTTGATAAAGAAGTAGAATAGGGCTCTCTGGAGATTCTCTACTGTCTTGATTTACATAAATCAGATTCTTATAAATAGTAGTATATTTTCCTATGGAGTAATTTAGGGGATTTGGCTTTCTAGTTTTTGTTCAGTTCTATGGAGTTCACCACAGTGACGCAGCTCTGTTTGATGACTGGCAAAATTTCAGAGATTAGGTTGTTACATTCCTTAGATTAGACCCAGGAGCCACCCATAGCTGGTTAGGAAAATATACCTACACAATACTGGGCTAGACCACAGCGATGGCTATAACTTCCCAATAATCAGTATCTAAAGTGGAGTTAGGAAATGTTAACAAGAGGTTACTAATTATTTTCATAAGCTTGTCCTGCAAAATTTGGGAATACATGTAAACATCCCTAATTTGACTTGATTAGCAGCAACAGGCTCCTAGTCATAGGTGTGGGAGGATTTAGTAGGAAGGCCATTCGCAAGCTCCTGATATTTTCATTTGGGGGATTGTACTAAGCAGAGAAGATCCCAAGTAACCAATCTTGCCTCAGTGAGTTGCTGAGGACAAATGTGGCTATATTTAAATGCTTTAAAGTGTATCATGTGCTACGCAAATAAATAAACTCTTAAAAAAATTAATTCATCTAGACAGTTCTTGGATATATTATATTTTTAAGCTATATATTATATTCTGTAGGGAAAGGGTAATTTATCTGATCTGTTATTTTTCCTTTTGCCTGAGGGACATCTAAGGATTCGACCCTTGCTTTACTCCTTCTTGAAACATAAACATGGGGAATATTTTAGCGTGTGCCAGATGCGAGATAAATCAGAGTCCTGCTGAGGTTGATGTGTGATGAATTATGCACCTGTACTTGGGGTGTCTGGACTGTTTATTGAATAACCTGGAAATGATGAGTAGTCAGCTGCATCAGAGATGAGATTTAGTTCCATACCTCTAAGAGGATTATGAGTCTAGCAAGGTAGAAAAGCTGGTGGGACCCTGAAGCTGGTGGCTTCCATGAGCCAAGGTGGTCCATATCAATTAGCCTTCATCCCCTGTGATCATGTACATCCCAACTTGGAGAAATTGTGTCATTCAGCAGCTATTTCTGGGAGTCATGAGCCTCTGCTCTGTGTTTCCTGTGCATGCCAGGTTGTCTATCCTGCGTGCTTTCTTAGAAACCGTGTAAAGTCTATTTAGAGTGAAGCCTATTTTGTCCATGAGTTTAATGGACACTGAAAGCCCAAGACCACTGTTGTTGGTCAAGCAAAGTGAGTATTGTTCTGTGAAAAAGATCTGAAATATGTTTATTTAAAACCTCCCATTTAAAGATTTAGCTGAACTTCTAATATTCTAGGGTTTGATAAAGAAGAGTATAACATTCATGTATTAGTTTCCTATGGCTCTTGTAACAAATTGGGTCATTTAAAACAACAAAATTTTATTTTGTTCTGTTCTGGAGGCCAGAAATCCAAAATCAAGGAGTTGGCAGGGCTATGCTCCCCCTTAAGGCTTTAGAGGAGGATCCTTCCTTGTTTATTCCTATCTTTTGTGGGGCAATCCTTAGCATTCTTTGGCTTGTAGATGCATTCCTCCAACTTCTCTCTCTTTCTTCACATGGCATTCTTCTGTGGGTGTGTTGTCTGTGTTCAAACTTCCCTTTTCTTACAAGGACACAAATCCCTGGATTATGGTGAGCCTAGTCTTCGTATTATCTCGTCTTAACTTGATCACATCTGCAAAGACTCCATTTCTAAATATGGTCCAATTCATAGGCTCCAGGGATTAGGACTTAAGCACAATTCAATCCATAATAATTCATCATACAGTGGATTTCAGTCACAACCCTTTTAACATTGTTCTTGTCTTTGATTGCTTGATGCATTTATTCATTGAAAAATATTTATTGAGCTGAGTACTTTTCTAGGTGCTTGTAACAAAGCAGCAAATAAAACAGACATGTGCCCTTAACCTACATGGAGCTTGGATTCTAATGAGGGTAGACAGGAATTATGCAAATAAGTAACCATAGAATTTGTCAGATAGTGATAAGTATTAGAGAAAATAGTAAAGCAAAGCAGAAAGGCCAAGGCATGCCAGATAGAGCTTGCTATTTTATATAGAGTGATTGGAGAAGTCTCCACCAAGAAGACACTCTGAATGAGGTAGGAAATCATGAGAGTTATGAGCAGAGGAATGACAAGATTTGAATTATGTTTTAATAGGATCATGAGGCTTTTATTAGAATAGAGTGCAGGAGGACACAGAGATTATAATTAGTAGAAGACAAGTACCCTACCCTATGCTACTGTGAAAGTGGGAAAGGAGCAGGCAGGAAGTTAGGGGAATTGAATATCTAATAGATGATAATGGCTTTGAACGAGCTAGTAATGGGGGTGATGAAAAGTGGTGGGATTCTGATAATGTTCAAAGGATTGAGACAAAAGGATTTCCTAATGGAGAGGATAGCTATAAGATTTTTGAGCTGTTCAACTCGAAGTATGGAGTTGCCATTCACTAAGACGACAAGGCTGTAGGAGCCAACTATGTGTGTGTATGTTTGTGCGTGTGTGTGCACATGCACGTGAGAGAGAGAAGGTACGTACGTTTTCAATTTTTGACATGCTAGTTTTAAGATGAGTATTAGATAACATAGTGGAGATATTAAGTAAGGTGTTGGATACACAAATCTAGAGTTCAAGCGAAGGGTGAGAACCAGAGGTATACATTTTTAAGTCATAGTAAAATTAAATTATATTTAAAACCATAAAGCTAGATAAAAACACTTACCCTGATATATCATTTGACAAGTTCTACAGTGTTTGCAAAAGTTACATCAATACGTAAGGCATTTCTTTCTCTTAACCTTGAGATAATATTTTCTCAATAAATAGGCCTTTATGCTCTGGAGCTATTTACTAAAGCTGATTGCAGGAGGAGGTATATTTTATAGGAGGTATTAAAATAGACTAGCCAGTTAACTTTGGATGAATTGCTTTTACCCAGTTAAGCAATGACATGAACTAGCTGACTTATTGAGCCCTAATCCACCTCTGTTATTCCAGTCATGAATTTTTTTGTAATACAAATTTTCCTCTGCTGTATCATCAGGGTATTTGCCAACAAAAAGTGGGATGTCAGGTTTCTTTCCCATCTTTATTGGACATTCATTTTCATACAGAGATATGACGTTAAAAAGTATTAACTCTTGGACATTCATTTTCATACAGAGATATGACGTTAAAAAGTATTAACTCTTTGTTCTGTAATGTTTTCAGTATAATTAAAAGATAGGCTTTGTACGATTCATTTGCACTGCTTCCCCACCTGTTCTCAATGCTGAAATCCTTGTATGACCTTCTTTTTTATTAAATACACTTTGAATGTTATCCATGATTTTCTTCACCAAGGCCAAATTCTCCATGAACTATCTTTTGATAAATAAAGAATATAAGTGTTAACCCATTTCCCATAGTTTAGCGTGTTTTCTTGGTAGTCACCATGATTTTTAAAGGCTATTTTTTTTTTTTTTTTTTTTCGGTACGCGGGCCTCTCACTGCTGTGGCCTCTCCCATTGTGGAGCACAGGCTCCGGACGCACAGGCCCAGCGGCCATGGCTCAGGGGCCCAGCTGCT